GTAGAATTATGATCAAAATGGGAGATTCTTGCAATTTCATTCCACTGTGTCATTTACTGTAAGCAGTTGTGAAGGAGAGAGCTGGGCTTGGTGTTCCAGAAGTTCTTGTTGTTGCTTAATTGTTCTGCTGTTAAAGATCTGTAATAAAGGAACAGGGCAGGACCTTTCTGCATCGGAAGTGGTACAAAATGCTTGTTCAGTCTACAGGAGATTTGGCCCTCTGCTCTGCTATTTTAAGAGCGGGTCTGTCACCACAACCACAACAGTGGACAGGCCGAGGGGTTTTCTTAACCCTGTTCTTTGAGGAGGGGTTGTTTGTGTCTGTGCCTATGAGCAACTAAACATTCCTGTGCAGATACTTAAGCCTTAAAGGAGTAGTTTAGCCCAGAACAAAGTTTTACAGACCCCAAATCGTCATGTTTACAACTTTATCTCGTTTCAAACCCATACGAGTTTCTTTGTTCTGTGTAACACAAAAGCAGAATATTTACTTATTTATCTATAAAATGTTCATTTTCATTACTTATTATTATTATTATTATTATTATTATTATTATTAGTAACTACTTTAACAATTATTTGTTAAATTACTTATTAAAGGCATTTTATTAAATAAATGATTCATTAAATGTATTTTTAAATTATTTATTAAATGATTTAATCATTAAATGTATTAATTAAATGAGTTTTATTTATTTAATGAATTATTACTTATTAAAGGTGTTTTTATTTATTTAATTATTTTAAAATACTTTTTTTTTTTTGGTTTGCTTGAAAGTTTGTATCATTATTAATAAAGTCCAATGTTATTCTTATATTTATTCATTCTTATTCATATTCTTACTATACACTTTTTTTCCCCCTGTGATTTATGAAGTGGGACTTTGAAGAACCAAAAACGCGGTGGATCCCGGTAGAGGAAGCTCCTGAAGAGCAGCAGAAAGCAGAGGTGTTCCCTCTCCAGGAGTGGCCAGCAGGTTCGATTTCAAAGTCAACCGGCAGACCTGGTTCTCACGTCTGCTTCTGTAACCGCGCACAGCTAGCGGAAAAGCTGGCATCCACATAATCAGACAACTAAACCCGGTGCCACTCGGTTGAATGATCATGCATTAACATGATTTGAGTGTATTTGAAGTTTAATAAAGCAGTGTAAAACTGAATGTCATATTCATATACTGAGTGTAAAGCTATTTGTCATTGTTGATATCACCAACATGCTTTTTTTATGGAGCTTGGATGGTCAAGCACAGTTTTGAGTTTACTTGCAAAGCAAAGGAGATGTTGTGACAGTTTTTCTCATACAGTACCTATTGTTACCAACTTTAGAAGGCTGATCTACTCTTGTATCCTTCCCTCATGGCGACTAAGGCTCCCGGTACTTCCCTGTCATTCACGTTGACGACATTTTCCATTGTCGTCCCCTTTCCTCTCCAGAGCCATGCTGTTGATTAATGGGATGGCTCTGAAAACCTTATCGGACCTGGCATTTTCATAGACGATACGGAACACTGACAAATGAAGGGAGGTGTCACACTGACTGCCCTAATAAAAACAATATCACCCTTTTGCATGCTCGCCAGGTCGGGAGGTCACTTCCTTTATTTTGATGGTTAGCCAGACTGGACACAGCCCAGCAGCCCGAGATAAGGTGTAGACGAGACTGCGAGTGTTTTCAGCGTCTTCGCTGGTATCCAGACTTGGCCTGCCTTGTCTTGTGACTTTGCCTCCCATGCTCTTTGTATCTCAGTCGGGTTTAACAGATAGATATTAGACTTCCTCAAAACATGATAGCAAGACAATGTGTTGATTAGAGTATGTCAAGAACATGAGGACATTTCTTGTGCTGGTGGCTTTGCGTTGGGGACGTGAATAATGTGTTGGCCCACGCAGAATCTACAGAGCTAGAATTTAACACAAATGCCTGTCATTCACAAAGTTCTACACATTCTGTGTCTTTTGCATATAGGTCTATTGAGTATTATAGGTTCTGACAAGGTGTAGAGATTGCTTGTGTGTTCTGGCTGATTTTTTTTTTTTTATTTCACTGATCACTTGGCCAGTTAATTATTTTGTATTAAAAAACAAATAAAAAAATTTGGTTATTTTAATGATACTGTTTTTTTTTTTTTTATTATAGATTATTCTATTTTAATTATAATCTTTTACCATGTTTAAATCCATTCTGCAGATTCATGCTGAAAAATATGCAGATTTGACCTGCTAATGTGAGATATTAAAGAGAGAGTTCACCCAAAAATATTAATTGTCATCATTTACTGAGCCTCATATCGTTCCAAACCTGTATATCTTTCTTTGTTCTATGGAACACAAAAGAAAACGATGACGACTTGTTTTTTTTTTTATTGAATGAAAGTCAAAGTTGTTTTGCCTTTGAACATATCACCCTTCTCCTTTTTGGAAAAAGTGTTGTTTTATTATCATTTATATACTGTTATAGCTTTTATTCATATTTTGAATTAGCTTTTCGTATTTTCACTTTTCACTTTAATTTTAAATTAAGTAATTTTGTTCTGCATATTTTTAAATATTACTATTTAGGTTTAATTTATTTTTATTTCAGTTTTAGTTTTTATTTAGTCATTTTCTTGCTTCAACTTAATCTTATTTTAGTTAGTTGCCAAGGCAACATTTCAATTTTGTTTTGTAATTTATGTTTTCCTCTAATATTTATATTTTATTTCAGCTTTATTTTAGTTAAAAATCTTTTTTTATATTTTTAGTTTTAGTTAATGATAATAAACAGTTTGGAAGGGGAAGAAATTTTTTATTTTATTTTTTTTTGGGGGGGTGAACTATCCCTTTAAGCTATAACCTACAAAAACTTTACATTTTTTAACAAATAAATTCTAAATATTCTAATATTTTTAAAATTATTCTTAAGTTTATTAAAAAAATGTCTTCATTTGTTCTCACAGTCTTTGTTTTAACCATTGGATTCTGTGCACGACAGATCCTCAGACTGGTTTCAGTTTGCTCTCTGACACAGATGTCAACTCAGACTGCTGATCCATCATTTCACAGAGCCTCTGACGTAACCGTGGATAGTGTTCTTCTCTGAAGTCACTGAACTCGGCCTGGGCGTCAGCGAGCGGCCTGCCTATAACGGGGCCTGAGATTGTAGTTAATCCTCTCCCCCCTTGAACTTGGAGAAATGAAAGCAAACTGTCCGTTTTGTTTAAATAGGTGGAATTCTGTTTGCACATCTGACTCGAAGCACGGATTAGAACATCTGAACCTGCGGTTGTGTGCGAGGGCTCTTGTTTTTCTTTTGGATTGACATGTACGTCATCTTGAACTTGCTGCGAGGGGGCAGAACGAGGTTGCGTGAGTTCAAATTTAAATTCAGGCCTTTTCTGATATACTCCATTTATGCTTTTTACTCGAGAAAAGTTCTTCCGTTTCCTGTGTGGTTTAGAAGGAATGGTTTGTTTCAAAGCTTGTCGTTTTATCACATCCTACAAACACACAGGATCTCCAACATCATGTCAGGAACATCAGATGAACAGTTAATGTATTCAGTCACTGATAATAACAGGCAGTCGCATCACGTCCTCAATGTAAATTATAGAAGAGCAGTTACTAGTTAAACCTCATTTTGACTTTCAAAACAGCCAGTGTGTCTGAAACTGTCTGAAAGTTTAGATTGACCATTGAACTGACAAATAGATGAAACATGGACAAATAGCTAGACAACTCATTCTTATGTAATACAATCCCTCAATAAAACAATACAGCTTCTTATATCACTACATGATTTCACTTTTTCTCTACTCATCACTTTCACTTATCACATGTTGCACATCATATTGATCTTAAGGAAGATAGTGTATTGCTGTAACTCTTTAAATGTAGGCTTGCGGACAGTAAACTAATCTATGAAGTAGAGATGACCACATATATGGAAAAAGAGGAAGGTTTGGCAATCTATCTACTTATATGTTGTTATCTGAATATAATAAAGCCCTATCACTGTTTTATCAGTATGCATGGCGTGTTAATGCAGTATAGCATGTATGATTAGATCATTCTTAGGGTCACTCTCTCTCAGCGTCAATAATAGTGATGTCCGGTTCGCGAACGAATCGTTCGATTTAACCGGTTCTTCTTAGTGAACCGGTTGAACCAGTTCACCAAATCGGACTGAATCATTTGAAACGGTTCGCGTCTCCAGTAAGCATTAATCCACAAATTACTTAAGTTATTCACTTTTTTAACATGGCTGACACTGTTATGATTACTGACTTTATATTTGAATGTGTTAAGCCCGCGATAGACTTGACGCCATTACGTCATCGTCAATGACGTCATTACGTCGAGCGTAAAAGAACCGGTGAACCGTTTTTTTCAACCGGTTTATTGAATCGAACTGTCCGAAAGAACCGGTTCGCGGAAAAGAACCGAACTTCCCATCACTAGTCAATAAGGATTAATTTAGGGCAGTCACATGGCTCTGAGGTGACGTCATATCCTGAATGTCACGCAGAAGAATTATTGCAACATTTCTCAGGAGGACTTTGAAATAATGCGGTCAAATCAACCCTCAATCGAACGGATCGGTATACTGAGATATAAAAAAATATTGAAAATAGATCTCCTCACATCATCTCACCTCTTAATACTTTATGAAATTATTGATAATAATCAGAATGTAAAAGAGAAGACCCAGGGCAAGTTGTCACATGTTTTGCTCCAATATTAAGTCCATTTCTGTGTAGTCAAATACTGTAAAATGTAAATTAGCACTACTCAAAATCACCCTAAACTGAAACAGTTACGAGTCAAAACAATTCATAAAACAGAAAAAATGTAAAAGGTACTTTTCACAAACTATTTAATTAATAGTATTAAATGCACTAATAGCCTTTTTGCGTATTTATTAAAAGCAATACGCGGTCTGGTTTGATGCCAGATGGGCCTGTAGCGCGCGCTCACACGCACCTGACGCAGTTCTACAGTGACCTCATATCCTCTGCATCACTTCCTGTACATGCTGAGGCAGATCTGAGCAGTCTGGCACATTTACACACACACTCATCTTCTGTCAGCAGTAACGTTACATACGAGCTGAGCCCGCGTCTTTTTGTCCGCGATCCTAGCGCTCTCATCATGACCCAGAGGTGATCCTCGTTCCCGGTGGTTCTGGGTGAGTGCGATTTAAAACACATGCAAACACGCGGTGGCGCGTGCGCTCACACGCGCACACAAACACACGCACGGATCTCTTCATTGATGTATCAGTATGAAGTCATGGCTGCCTGGATTCGTTCTTCCTCGCGTGTCCTCGGTCGGTTTATGGGTTTTATTTCATTATTAAATGACTGAAATGAACTAGATCGTGTTTTATAAGGCTGTAGTGAGTAATGTCTTGATTTATATGGATATGGTTAGCCACTAACGCTGTTGTGATCTGTAGTGGAGTGTGTACTTTGAATGTTTTTTTTTGGTTTGCATCCAGCGGCGTGATTTAAAGGGATAGTTTACCCCAAAAATAATTTACTCATTCTCACGTCCTTCTTAAACCTGTATGACATTCTTTCTTCAAATGAACTCAAACAGAGATGTTAGGCAGATTGTAAGGGACTGACAGCCTCAGTCACCATTCACTTTAACAGGAATGGGGACTGAGACTGTCATTGTGGCATCCCCTTTTGTATTCCACTAAAGAATGTCATACAAATGAACGACTTTTCATTTTTGTGTCAGTTATTACTTTAAGTAAATGCATTTCATATCTTTTTGCAGTATTTAAAAGTTTAGCTGAGCTTCATGACAGTGCAAAAGAAAATATGTATAAGCTGTGTTGGTTGATGTGTAACGTTCTCATCTGCTATGCTGGTGTTTTATTTGTTATTTTGGGGTGAAATCACTTTCTTGAGCCTGTGCGTGTGTAATGCATTTTTTTTTACCCTAGACTAACAAGCTGCTGACAGAACTTGTAATTAAATGTTTAATTAATGATTGTCTTAAACCCAACATAAATGTCTGTTGGGGTAGCTGACATGTCAAGATGTGACAGGATTGTCCACACATTAATTTGAATTCTTTCAGAATGTTTTATTTTTGAGTATATACATTTACAATGTTACAAAAATCTGTTTTTTTCCAATAAATGCCGTCAATCAAAGAATCCTGAAATAAATGTATCATGGTTTACAGAAAAATATTAGTTTTTGACTTTAATTAGAATAATTTCTGAATGCTTTGCATCACAGATATAAATTACATTTTCAAATATTAAAATAAAAAGAGTTATTTTCTAATCATATTTCACAGTATTACTGTTTTTGCTGTATTTTTAATCATATTAATACAGCCTTGAAGAGAGATTTATTTTTGGAAACCGATTGAAAAAAAAAAAGAGAAAATTAAAAATCATACTGACCCTAAACTTTTTTGACGGGTAGTGTATGTGTATATATATATTTAACCTAAAACTTGATTTTCAGGTGCATGTTTTACATTCTTGAGCTGCACTGTTAATGTTTCTGACTAAATTATGCTTTGCTGCTGCATTTTAATCATTCTAAGTTTTAACTTTGGCATTTATTGTTTTTGTACTTTGGCTCATTTTCCATAAGCTTCTTAGGATGTGTTTTTAATGATTGGCTAACTTCAGTAGTGACCCCTTTTGGCCCTCTTTATATCTTCTCATTTTAAGATCTGTCTCGGGTGATCTGATCACAAGTGGTGAACTTATACACATCGCTGTTTACGCCTCGTATTAACATGCATATCAATATACCTCACACTGTCAGCCATTCACTGCATGTTGATCTAAGCACAAACATTTTTCAAGCTAAATTATAAGTTGTTGTTGTTCGGTAGCTAGCTACATTAGTTGGATTTGCTTCAAATAATCCGTCTCTGCATGTTGATCTAGACTGAAGAAGCTGTGTGAAGTCTTGTTCATGTGTGTGCGTGGGCTTCTACACATTTTTATGATCAGTTTAAAACCCTGAAGCACAGTGGATGACATTTGGACGTTTACACCATCTTTTGCTTAGTCATGGGAGCATTCTTTAAAAAACGTTTAACAATCTTACCGGCCCCAAACTTTTAAATGACCGTATAGGAGAAAAAAATGTGACTCAGATGGTTATTGTTGCTTAAGGTTAGTTGATTAATATGAAAAAAGTGAAATCATCTTCATTTAACAGGATAAAAAGATTAGTTTTTATCTGACTGCGGAGGTCAAGTGTAGGGCGCCGCTAGTCAGACATCGATGCATGTTGTTCAGATGTGGTTTATAAGGGGCAGGAGGGTTCACAACAGCTTTTAAACATTGCACCACTTTTGTGGAGTGTAAACATTATGATTTGCATGGCTCAAAAGCATTAAATGTTGGTGAATCTTTAGCAAAGAGATACGATCAGCATAGAGCTAAAAGTGGATCACCATGAACAAAGTGACTGACTGTTTCATTTTACATAGACCTAAAATGTGTTATATTTCAGGGATATATCTTTGACATGGTGACATGGACAAACTGGAATTCAGAAGTTTATCTGTGCGGTTTTGCTGTCATGTCCCGAAGAGCTTTGAGGTGATGCCGAGATTTCTCGCAGAATACTTTTAGCAGACGCGCTCTAAGACAACAGTGTATGACAGAAAGTCTGCCAGTGTTGAATCAGAGCCGACGTGTGACATATCGTGACATGGTGCAAGTCCCTTGTGCAGCTTTCTGAGTGTTTGCTCTCAGAATCCTCGACGGCAGTGAAATGGACAAGACCTTTCTAGCTGTCCGTAATGTGGTTTACCTAAAACAAGTCCTACTAAAAACCGACTCTGTTCATGGGAGGTGCGATAAAAGACACTGGATTAAAATAGTAATAATGTAGAATTTGGGACCAAAGTGTGAACCAAAAAAACCATAGATGGAGAAAAGAGCCAAAAGAGACTCTTGATAAGTTTAGCATTTTGGCTTTTATTTAATTTTTTATTTTAATCAGACTGCATAAAGTAAGTTTGACAGCTAGAATTATTTTATTTTATTTAATTTTTCAATCAGAATGCCTAAGAGCATCTGACTTTAATTATTTAATTTAATTTTTTATTTTAGTTCATTTTATCATTATGCCTCAGGTAAGATAGTCCTTTTTTTATTTTATTTATTTCAATTCAATCATTATGCCTCAGGTAAGATAGACTTTATTTTTATTTTTATATTTTATTTCAACCAGAATGCCTCAGGTAAGAGAGTCTGAATGCTAGATTTAAATTTTATTTAAATTTATTTTACATAATTTTTTTTTTTATTTCAATAAGAATGCCTCGTGTAATAATGTCATGTCTGACAGCTGGATTTTTACGTTTTCTTTTCTTTTTCATTAACTAAATGTTCGTTCTTGTCAGTGCATTAAGACTTCATTTGTGTTTACTAGACCTAGTTTAACCTTATTTTATTTCCGGATTGATAAAGGTTGTTTACTGCACCTAAAATCATAAGGAACAAACTTTTATGAAGGGTAATTTACTCTAGGCTGTGGTACTTTGAATGGGGCAGCATTATGAATAAAATCATAATCTTTTGAAGGTCCATAGATTTTCTTTTCCAAGTGACATTGACAGTAGGAGTTGCTAATTCAAGACCATGTGGCCAGACTCTGTTCCCTTTTTCTGTTTGATCTTTTTGTTTTTATTTCTGCTAAAATAGTAATAATGTAGAATTTGGGACCAAAGTGTGAACCAAAAAAACCATAGATGGAGAAAAGAGCCAAAAGAGACTCTTGATAAGTTTAGCATTTTGGCTTTTATTTAATTTTTTATTTTAATCAGACTGCATAAAGTAAGTTTGTTTGACAGCTTTATTTTATTTTATTTAATTTTTCAATCAGAATGCCTAAGAGCATCTGACTTTAATTATTTAATTTCATTTTTTATTTTAGTTCATTTTATCATTATGCCTCAGGTAAGATAGTCCTTTTTTAATTTTATTTATTTCAATTCAATCATTATGCCTCAGGTAAGAGAGTCTGAATGCTAGATTTAAATTTTATTTAAATTTATTTTACATAATTTTTTTTTTATTTCAATAAGAATGCCTCGTGTAATAATGTCATGTCTGACAGCTGGATTTTTACGTTTTCTTTTCTTTTTCATTAACTAAATGTTCGTTCTTGTCAGTGCATTAAGACTTCATTTGTGTTTACTAGACCTAGTTTAACCTTATTTTATTTCCGGATTGATAAAGGTTGTTTACTGCACCTAAAATCATAAGGAACAAACTTTTATGAAGGGTAATTTACTCTAGGCTGTGGTACTTTGAATGGGGCAGCATTATGAATAAAATCATAATCTTTTGAAGGTCCATAGATTTTCTTTTCCAAGTGACATTGACAGTAGGAGTTGCTAATTCAAGACCATGTGGCCAGACTCTGTTCCCTTTTTCTGTTTGATCTTTTTGTTTTTATTTCTGCTCACCACCGTTTTCTTTTTCGAGGGGTACACCTCCGTTCTCAATCTCTCTTTTTTTCTCTCCTCCAATCTCTCCTCCAGTCCACCACTATGAAGTCAACCGTAGTACAATAAAAGCCTGATATCTTGCATGAAACGGTCTTGGATTGCATGAGAATCAGAAATTTTGATAGCAAAATTTTAATGGACTTATCAAGTAGGCACTTAACTGGATAATTGCTCAAGAAGATAAAACAAGCTTTCCAGGTATGCTTGGGTTTATTTATCTTGCGCCGACTTTTAAATATTATTGTGTGAATGAAATGTGTGGGTTTTTCTGTACACTTGAAGACACACACAGACTCACTTTAGCACCTTCTTAAACAGGATGGCAACAGTTGTATAACATTCTGTGAGAATTTCTCATGGTCAAGAGCTTTGAAGTGTAAGGAGGTTGTCTTTTTTCCTCTTTCTTTCACTATTTTGATCATACTTTTTTGACCCGAGTTATTGACCGCGATCGGATTAGAGCGTTTTTTTCGGCGCTGTCCTTGACTACAGAAGAATCACTTCAAAAATGCATGAGAAAAGCACACATTTGTTGTTCTCTGGATCCCAAATGATGGTAAGAAATGTGCCCATGAATTAGTGAACCGCTTGTCCAGCTGAGAGTCAAGCTGCTTTGCCCTGTTGGTGTTTGATACTTTAATGTTTTTCAGATGTTTTTAGAGCTTTTTCAGTAAGCTTATT